TCTTACCAGACTTGTAGTTTTACTTTCTTTCCGTCCACATCAATTGTTTTTACTTTGAAGTCAATCCCTGTAAGGTAAAAAAAAAAAAGAGGGGGGGAGAGGACAAAGAGGGGCAGATAAGAGCCAAAAAGGAGAAAAAATACTCCTGATAAAAAGTGAAACACTAACACAGAGCAGGAAATATTGGTCAACTGGAAACTGGTCATTTCCATTGCGTGCACTCCCATCCACAATCAGGCATGGATTGTTTTTTTCCTTTGAGGATGGACAAGCTGATAGACAGCAGGGAGGGGGTGTCCACCACAAAACCCTGCATGCCAGAAAGCAAGCAGCTCTTTAGAGAATGCAGAGATGGTAAGAGAGATAGGAATGAGGGCGGGTGGACCTCTGGTGAGAGCTGAGAGAGAGAGAGAGAGGAATGAGATTTAGAAAGATTTGGGAAAATAGGGTCAGGATAGAAACAGGGAAATGAGTAAGAGTGAGAAAAAAAAAATAAAAGCTGTAGTTTTTTGGGTCTTAGACTGACTTTCTGGTATTCTAGATGACTGAAAGTCAGATTACTGAAAGGAAAGCTCCATGAAAGCACGTGAGAACTCCAACAAAGGGTAACTAGTAGGTTTCATAAAGTTTCCATGAGGTTAGCTTATATAATTCATGAAAGTTTAAAGTTCTAGAATTAATCAATGAAAGCACTTTCCATAAAAGTTCAACAAAAATATCTCTAAGCTACATAAATGTTCTGTGAAAGTAAATGATGAGCTCCATGACTGTACAGAACCTGGCAAAGTCCATTAAGTTATCTTAAAAGGTCCACAGAGGTTCATTGATAGTATCTTACAAGTTCTATTTAAGTTCCATGAAATTATCTGGTAAGCTTTAAAGGCTGCATAAAAGTAGCCAATAAGTTCCACTAATGTTTTGTAAAAAGCACCTGATAAGATTTATCATCATGGCAGCTGTAAGGTTTAATGAACAATCCTTAAAAAATATGCATTAGGTTCTAAGAAGCCATTCTTAACCGGGGTCTGTTCTGTTCTGTTCTTTCATATATGTCACCTCTAAGACTTTATATAATGTTGGACAAGAATTCTCTTCAAAAGGGAAAATTATTTTCCCCAATGAGATTTTTCCTGTATAAATACATGTTTAATAAGATCAATACAAAGCATCACATAAGTTCCCCGAAAGCACATGTCAAGTCCCATGAAAGGAAATTCCTCCTCAAATCAACAACACTCCAAAGTTTGTCTGCTTGAACATGAGACATGTAATGCCTAGAAGAAGCCATGGCGCTACTATGGTCTGGCAACGCCTAACCTCTGTCTCGCGTGACCTTAATCTGTCACTCCTAATGGTGCAGAAACCTCGTCATCATAACAAGAAGTAAATATTTATATATTTTGGACCTGTCAAAATTTATGTACATATATTTTTCCAGTAAAATCAAAAACTTTATTCTGGACCACATTAAACATTTTGTAGATATATTAATATTTTCTATTAATCATATTGATGAAAAAGTTGAGGCTACGACCTTTAAGGACCTAATCACTTCAATGAAAGTGCCTGGATAATTCTATAAAATCAACTTCATGTATTTAACTGGCATACTCCAAAAAGATACTAGTGGAGGTACCTTCAATATTGTATAAGTTCCTACCCAGGGTACCACATGACCAGGCATGATCTGTGAAAGTTAGTGCTGTAACAACACATCAATTAAATAATTAGCAATCCAATTTTATCAATACAAAATTAAAAACTTCAATCGACAATGTCCTTTTTAAGGTCAAACTTTATTTTGAAATTCCCAGTGCACAAGGCTACAGTAGACATTTTATTATTAGAAGGTTTTTTTTTGTTGTTTTTATTTTAATGCCTGATCCATGGCGGGGCTTAGAAATAAAATATCATATTTGAGGTGTTTTTTGTGAGTTAATATCAATGTAATTCTAGTAGTTGGCCGGATGATATTGCATCATAGCGATCGCAGACTAGTAGAACTGTGTGTAAAATTCAGATCATTTCAGAAAAATTTCTGCTTGAATCGTATCATGATCCAAACACATATATAGAAAAAGTACTGTGACAAAGGTGGTGATTTACTCCCCTAATTAAAGTACTGGTTATGTGCCATTAGAGTTCAAAAACAGTTCTATAAAAGTACCAAATTTTTTTATGAAAGGCCAAAAAACACCTAGGAGAATTCATGAAAGCTCAGGCCCTGTTGACGCACATTTTCTCACAAAAACTGAACAGTTTGATTTAATTTGTACTGCTCATTTATGCAGCAAGGGTGATTGTTTTCTTTGACGACAGCACAGTCTGAAAACTGGTTCCAGTTTGAAACTGTCCTGTTTCCAATGTTGTGTAAACAGCTGAAACTGAACTATTCTTACAGGGAATACCCTGCTGGTGCACATTATCACACAGATCACTAGACATTAATGCACACAGGGACAAAATTCCAGCTGCATACAAACCATGACAGGGAATGGTTGTAATTCAAAGTCACTTTTAGCAACAACTTAACCTTGCCTTCTGTCCATGGAAAACTTTTTTTGTTTAACAGTGTTTAACAGTGATGGTGGCTTTTACACACTTATGCTGCTGTTGAGTTTCAAAGAACACAGCACAACAAATGGTGCATGAGAATTGCACCATTTTCAAGTCTCTGCTATTGTGTTGTTAACAGAGATTGTTGTAAGACGGCAGTCAAGTAAACACATTAACATAAACAAAAGTCTGTGTTTTCTAATAAAAGTACTAAAACGTTAACAGGACAATGTTCTAATAACAGTATCTTTTTGCTATGGTAGGTCCAGAAAAGCACCTAAGACTTACTGAAGTCCCTGAGGACCAGCATCCTTCAACTTTTAGATATATCTCTAGTCCCACACACTTGAATCTAATTCAGTTTAT